CGGACCCGTCCTTCAAATCGGGCTAAAAGAAGGACGCATTTATCGGCCGCATATCGAGGAGTCTTGGAATCCGACCAGACCTTGGCGCCGCGCTATGACATCATCGGCCTTCGAATGTGGCCTTCTAAGGACGCAGCCCATGAGTGAAGATCCAGACTTTTGCTGCAGTTAATGCAAAGGTTAATATGCAGTGGTCTATGGCAGGCCATTTAGACATTTAATATTAGCGCACCCCTCTTTGTTGTTCCATTTGTAGATCACTAAAATAAGATTAATCTTAGTGTAATGTTTTCTAAATTACATTTTACCAGCAGAAACTGAATTTCAGAAAATAAAATTTATTTACACTAAGATTTAAACTATTTGAACTAATTTAAACTAAGATAAGTAAGATTTAAGTTTTATATACCTAGAAATGTTTCAGGCGGCCATTCTGACATTTATCAGCTTTACTGAATATATATTTATAATATCTGACATATATTTCATCATAGTCAAAATAATATAAATGCTGACCAGGAATATTAGGAGATCTGAAATTAATTTCTAGACATAAAGAAAGTGTATTCTAGATGTGGAGAATTTAATCTTGTTTGAAATAGTTTTGACAAGTTTTTTAATAATATATATTCATTTAAACTAATTCATAACTAAATGGCTTCCCACAGACTGATGTGAACACGAAAATACTGTGGGATTATTTGTTGAATGGTCGTAGATCAATGAAGAATAAAAATGTTCTAATATATAGAATCTGTTCATCATCTCATGGGTTCTTCCTCATGTTGATTTAGTCTCTTTTACGCAGTAAATTCTGTCTGTTTGCAGCCGCTTCTGATGTCATCGTCCCATAAATGGCCGTTATTAGCGGCTATCAGTCCCATAGAACGGCTCCAGATTGGGCCAGTAGGCTGTTATCAGATTTAATCCTAATCCTAACACCGGAGTTATTCCTTTTACCGCGGCATTAATCTATTTATCTGTAATCTGACAGTAATTTCAGTTGTTCTTTATGTACAAATAAATAAATAAGAATTAAATGATCCGCATCTCGTTGATATTAAACACCAGAAATAAGTAAATCTCACATCCTGTCACCTGAGTGGTGGAATCCTCTCCCTATAAATAACTGACTCCAGGTGACTCCACACCTGGTAAACATCCACTCTGTTGGGTTTAGATCTGGACTTTGATTAGGCCATTCTAGCCCCTCAATCTGCTGTTACCTGAAGCTCCGCCCATCGACCTGCTGAGGTTTAATGATCCGTACGACTTTTTCTCATGTTTGGCGTCGTTGGAAGTTCCTTTCTGATTCTTCGTTCCTGTAGAGTTTTTCTTCTTTCTGTCTCCTTCAGCTTTTCCCGTGTCTTCCTGCTCTCCCTCGGTGTGCACTTACCCTCGGGTTCTGTTGGACGTCCCCTGCTCCTCCTCTGTCCTCCTCCTTCTGCTCCACTCAGTCTCAGTTTTCCAGTTCTTGGAGAACTCCTTCGGTTTACTGATCGGTCCAGTTCCTCAGGTCTTCTTCCAGGATTATCCTGGTTTTAGCCTCGCCCACTTTCCATCAGCCTGGTGCTCAGCATGATGCTGCCACCGCCATGCTCCACAGTGGTGGAGGTAGTTGTCCTGTGGACATGTTGTCTCCTGCAGCTCCTCCAGACAGTCAGGGGTTGATAGAACATACTGGTTCCTGCTTAGTTGGTCACCATAGCAAGAGGGGATGATGATGGGGTGTCCATGTTTCTGTTAGCTGGAGGACACCCGGAGGACACAGAGAACAGTTAGAGACCGTCTCCCTCTGAAGACACCCGGAGGACACAGAGAACAGTTAGAGACCGTCTCCCTCTGAGGACACCTGGAGGACACAGAGAACAGTTAGAGACCGTCTCCCTCTGAGGACACCTG